TTCCAAGACCTTTAATCTCTCAGTGCTGGACAGCGACGAACCGAGCAAAAAGAACTTATCCGGGTTCTTTTCATCTATTCTCACCTCTACCAAGTCTTCCACCGCTTTTTGATCAGCTGCTTTGCCGATATCTGCGAATAGTTCGTTGCTCTCAGGTTCTTCCACCGAATGAACATATCCCTTGGCAGCGCGGCTGCCATTAACTGTGACAAAGCATTGTTTGGACATAATTTGATCTCCAAAGACCTCTTCAATTACTTCGGCTTCATTGGGGAACCACATTACTTGATGGTAGGATGATGCTACTGATTTCATGGCATGGAGCCATGTTCTTCCCAAGATTATGTTGTAAGTGGAAGGGACCTTCAATACCCAAAATTCCACCAGTTTTGTCATGGTTCCTGCCTTGACTGGGAGGATTATCTTGCCTACTGGCCACTCTGGTATTGAGTTGAAACCGATAAGGGGAGATGTCGCAGGTGCCAAGTCTTTGTCCTCCAATTTCAGCTGTTTGAAGGTCTCGTAGTACATTATCTCCCATGAGCTTCCTTGGTCAATCAGAGTCCGCTTGATGTCGAAATTCTTGACGCGTAAAGTCACCACCAGTGCGTCACTATGAGGGCAATGTAGCCTTGCTAGATCCTTGTCTGAGAAGGATATGACGTTCGTAGCCTCTATTCTGCCCTTTTTGATGGTAGGTTGTGCACTTAATACCTCTCTCAAGTGCTCAGCCTTTTTGATCATCCCCCTGAGCTCACATACCCGCTCAGGTTCTCCTTCAATGTATTTATCCAGGTGACTGGCTGCCACCAACTCCTCAAAATGCTGTCTTAATGGCATGCAATTTCAGTGCGGTGCCCCTTTTCTTTGTGGAAGGTGCATCGTGATCTTTCGTCGTAGTCTTTCTGTGTTTCTCCTAGCTTAGCTGGCCATCTGACGAAAGGTTCATCGCGTATTTCGCTCAGAATCCGGTAGATCGGTTTCTTGAATACCGTGGTTATGGCTGTGCGGATTCTTAGCCATCTTTTATCCTGGTCTTCTCCATTGTCCCGCCTGCCTCGTCTGTTTTTGTTCGGACGTTCTACCGCGTTGATCTTTGCTGTGGTCTTTTTATCTGGTACTGCGGTCGTGCTAGATTTTGTTTTGGCACGGGCGCCGTCCTCTTCCAATGGTGAGGGGCGGTGTCATGGTGATTGAGTCCCTTAGTCTGTTCCCGACCGGAAGGCCTCTTTTGTATTGTGCAATGGCAAGATTGGTGGGGCAGTCCCTAATCTGGTTGAATGTCTCCCAGTAGCGACTATTATAGGATCTTAGTGTCTCATTTTCACCCATGTCGATGGAGAGTAACTGGTCAATCTCCACCGGGGTTTTGGTGTTCGTTCTGAACCTTGTGACGAACGCCTCCGCCAATTGCGCCCAGGAGGCTATGCTGCCTTCTGGAAGTTTTTCGAACCAAGTCAAGCCTAGGTCACCAAGGCTTGATGGGAAGAGGATGCACATCAAAGCCTCGTTTCGCTGATATACCGCCATAACCTGGCGGAAGTGGCTTAGGTGTATGTAGGGGTCCGTCTTCCCCTCGTACGTGGTGAATTTGGGTTGAAGGAAACCTGAAGGAAGGGGCACGTTTTCAATTGCCGGAACGAACGGCGAGGTCTGCAGCCTTGCTAATGCTTTGTCCTTTGGTTCGTAGGCAGGGCGTGGCAACGACATTCCGACCTCGACGCTTCCATGCGTTCGTGGAGCCAACCGTTGAAGGCCAGATACCCTGCGAGGGTTGCACGGCCTAGTATCCTCCTTCCATCGTGCCTTTTCTTCCAACATGTTCTGCAAATCGGATGATCTTGGTAACTTTGTCTGCCTGGATGATGTCTGGTGCGAGCGCGATGGTCGATAGGTACTTCCCTCCGTGTAAGACCACAATGATCTCGTTCTCTCAGACCTGGAGAAACGAGTTCTGGAGGTTCTGGATTGAGTATCGCCTGTCCTGAGGCTTCTACTCTCTGCTTGTGATGGTGTGGAATGCCTTCCACGGTCTTCTGAGCGGCGAGGGGGCGTCTTGCTTTTGGGCCCCTCTCCTGTCGCCACTCATTTTCCCTTCATCTAGTGCTTCATGGCCTCCATGTCCGCCACCATCTTCCTTATTAATTCATCTTACTCCTTTACACGGTCCTCCAAAACTTAAGGATCAATCATTCGCCTTTGTTTGTTAGGACTTTGTGAATGAGAGTGATGGGGGCTGTTAATCCGCCTCCTCCCCCTTGCATCCCTCCTGGGATTTTGTCGTTGTGGCTCCAAGTCCGCCATGAGAGAGATAGAAGGTAGGCCTTCGTGTCTTGCACCCTCCTCTGGTGTTTGTCCGTCGATGGCGGACTGCGGCAAATCTTCGTTGTGCGCCATTGCTTCTAAAGAGGAAAAGCTTGATCAAGAGGTTTTGTTCTTGTCTGAATTCCCACAGACGGCACCAATTGTACGGGAAAGAAATAACCATTCTCGTATAATCCTGTTGATCAAGTCCGCGTTCCTCCAAACGTCGTCGCTTTACTTCCTGAAAACACAAACGTGAGCTAGCCGGCAGGTGTACGCCGGAAACCCCTCCGATGCCTAAGTCAGCAAAATAGACAAGTAGACAAAAGCTCTGTGTATTCAGGAATCAAAGTTGTGTTACCTCTCCATAGGTGATATTTGTGAGCTTTTATAGGTTCTGTGTGGCACAATCCAAGTAGGACTCTTACTCCTCCATGTAGAGTCCTCTTAGGATTCATACTCCTGAAAGATAATGTCTATCCTTCAACACCCCCCTCACTGTTTAAACCAAGTGAGATAGTTTTACCATGGTCGGACTCCAATGTGGCCGAGGTACGCTTGGCTATGCTTAGCCGTAGAACAGACCAAACTATCCTTAGTTCGGTTCGTCCTTTTACTGCCTTTACCTCAGTTCCTCCTGTACAAACCGCGGTAAGTCTAAACCGAGCTAACTTTTAGCAAGGTTTAGACCGAGCTAACCATGCTGCGCCATAATCCGGTATAAGTTTTAGTATGGTGACCGAGCTAACCTCCTTGGGACCGGAGTAACTTTAAACCTCTTCAAGACCGGAGTAACTTTATGCCCTTTTTACTTAGCCCTTCGTACTGAGACCCATAACGGCCCAGCTCGGCCCAATTTTTATAAAAATTACCCTCTCATTTGGAATGAGCCAAAAGTGATGGTCACGTGGTATTCTTCCTCATCAGGAAGCCAAATTCCTTATTCAAGTTTGGTTTTTATTAGATTAGATTAGATTAGATTTGAGGAAGTGAAGATTAATTATGTTATATAATCTATATATATATATAGAGAGAGAGAGAGAGAGAGAGAGAGTAATGGTAGAATTAGATGTAACAAAGAAAAAGAGTATGGCAGTATTACGGGTTATGAAGCTAGGAACACTAGCCATTAGAACTATCTCCAAACCCATCGCTGCTAGGCTCAAAACAGATGCTGGTTTGCACCCCAAGTTTCGTCAATTTATCATCAACCTCGCCCGGGTCTTCTCTCTCTCTCTCTCTCTATATATATATATATGTTTGGATTGGGATTTTGGTTCTTGGGATCGATTGTTTTTGGTTGGTTTTGCGTACATGGAACTTGGTTTTATTTTTTTAGACTGATTATATTTGGAAATCAATGTAACTAGTTCGATTAATAGGTGTATGGAAATAAAAGCTTCTGTGTTTGTTTTTTTTTTTTTAAAAAAAGTTAAATATGTAAGAGCAATAGAATGGTAGCCTATATCGGGTCCAATGGAAATAAATGGACAGAAAAAGAGGACGACGAAATCAGAATAACTCAAGAACTCATTCTTGATTAGAAAAAGCTGTGTAACTATTTTAAGTAGTATTTGAAAATGAAGTCGAAGATACAGATTTAAACTTGCGTGATGTGAATCACAATCAAAATAAATTTGTTACACATTTTATTTTCGGAATATTTTTTCTGAATTTATAATATTATTGTTCTTAATTTTGATTTTTTAAAAAATGCATGCATGCTTGTTAAAAAGCAATAATAGTATAAAAACATTTACAAGAAGGTGGTTGAGATGTTTTGCATTGCAGGCAAACCATCGTTTCTCAACCATGGTACAAAGGCACATTTATGGATATTCAACCGGGCTTGAGATCCGACCTCTGAATGAAGGAAGAGCCGTTGAAGCTGCCTCCAATATTCTTGGGGAATTGCTTGTGTTCTCGGTCAGTCTCTCTCACCCAACAGCACCATACATAACCCCATATTATTTCCCACACAATAATTCCTTCTATTAATTTGTTCCATCACCAAACCTAAAAATTATATATATATAAACTTTAAGATTTGCACTGACCAAAACCAGCTATTAAGTTGACACGTAGGTTGCAGGACTGGCTTTGATATGAGGTGCAAAGAAACTCCAGAGCTGAAGCTAGGAAGGAGGAACTCCAGAGGCAAGAACTCGAGGTAACCACTTACATGAAATTTAGTTACACTTTCAATTATTAATAATAATTATTACCCTTCTTTTAATTTTTTAATTTTTTATAAAAGTTTGTTGGGGTTTTTGGCTGGCTGTGTATAGGCCCTGAAGAAAAGAAATGAGGATTTAACGAAAGAGGTGGGATGTTTGAAGCTCAATCTGGAAGAAGTGGAGCGCCTTGCCAAGGGAAGAAGTTTCCTCGACATGCTTAGAAGTTTCGGATTTCCCACCCAAACCCAGCAACACTAACAAAGACCCCACTCCTAATTTGGTTTTTCTATGCCCACAAAGAAATTAGTGAACCTTTTAGTTTTGGAACTTGTAGATTGATGATTTTGATTCCTTCCCAATCCCAACCCAAATCAAAAGAATTTTTGACTGGCAGAAAGGACCTAATAGTCATCTATCACTCACCACTCACCGTGTTCAGTTAATATAGGGCAAGGATTATGGAGCAGTAAAATTTCACAGGCACGATAGTTAACTGCTTCATGAAACAACAAAAGAAGAGACTGAGAATTTACAGATTGCCAATTAAAATTTTAAAAGTTCATTTCACAAAAATCCCACTCAGTTTCCTATACAAGATGATCATACTTATTGTACGGGGAGGATTGGCAAATGGAGCCTCCAGTCTCCAATCCAAATAACAAAAATGAAAAAAAGGCGGGTTAAAGTTTGTTTCATGATTCTACCTGTGAACTATATCAGTTTGGGCTCATGGATTTGTCTATATTCAATCAAGTTCCAGAACAACTTTACCAGGAATGCGCCTTTTATCTTTGGCTTCATGAGCCTCCCTCACATGTGTAATGGGAAATGTCTTCTCCACAGGAATTTTCAACTTCCCGACCTCAGAGAGCCGACGAATCTGAGCCAAACCTTCAGCATCAGCCCTCATATAAGTCCACCAATATTCTGCACCATTAAGTAAAAGAAATATATTGGTCCAATTGACAACTAGAGGAAATATCGTTGCCTATAGAGAGGAAGTCTTGGACAGCTAAAGGAATTGTAAAAGCATTTCCACGCATACACAGCAGGAAAATAACTAAAATGGAACAAATTACAGGAGACGATCAGGAACATTTGTTTCACTTTCTGGAACTCAAAACAGAGAAAAACAAACAAAAACAATCCTATACAGACAACAAAGTTTCATAGCCAAGTGATACAGGAGAACAAGAAGCTGCATCATAAAACAGAGTCATCCAGGTTGGGTCAAATCACATTGTGAATTGATCTTGTTAGGTTTGGAGAATGGAGTGCCATGAAACACCAAATTTTGACAAGAGTCGTAATTGTAAGAGCTTACTCATAGGAAAAAAAATTTGACATGTTACTCATACAAGAGCTTTTTTCTCCTTTTGGAGGTAATCCAAATTGCAGGAACTTTAAGACACAAAAAGGGTATTCTCAGACAACCTGCTAGCAGAAATTCGCATGAAAGTAAAAAAAGTCGCTGGCTTCTGGCACTAACAGCAAACTGTGAAAATTTTACTCAAAACAAACATCCACCATCTCAAGTTTCAGGTTTTCAGCTTCAAGTTTCTCCTTCCAATGAATCTTAGGGTCACAACCTCACAATTTAGAACAACGGTCACTAACATCCAATTTCCACCAAATAACCTGATCAAATTACGAAGCTATAAAGAGGTTTTCCTGTACCTATTCCGTGAGAATATCGGTATTGAATCTGTTTCTTCAGCAAAATAGCAGAAGCAATAGGGAGCCCTACAGCCAGCCCATATCTGTCAGTCAGTGATGCCGCCTCCCCCTACAGGAAAAGACAGCCAAAATTATTGAAATGTCAATGTGCATCTGAAGATTCCATATTAGTGAAAAAAGCAAGTAAAGTAGTTAAAGTTTCCATCTCTCACTTGCAACGTCATATAGTGTCCACCTCTCCTCAAAAGATTGATGCCTGTCCTTTCTGTCTCCAGTACACCAATTGTGTCCAAAACAGCATCAAATTGCCCTTTTAGTGCTGATTCAATGTCCTATAAATAAAAAATTAAAAAAGAAAATGGTTAACTCTATGGGGGGAAATTTAAATATTATACCCAACCCAAAGATTAGAATGGAAAACAGGCACGCTATACAATCATCAAAATCTCCAACAACTGGCAATGGAACAAATGAGATGCGCTCTTTATTGATCATCACCTGAGTAGTATAGTCCACAGCCTGCTCAGCTCCAGCTGCCATAGCCCGATCTATACTTTCACTTCCACATGTAGTTGAAACATGGCACTCTGCAGCTACTGCAAGCTGAATTGCTGCAAAACCGACAGCTCCTCCTCCACCAACCACCAACACCCTTTGTCTGTAGAGACGGGATTGAAAATGCAATCATGAGAAAATACCCAAAAAATCTTGCACAATCCACACAGATATTATCGAACACTGAACACAACAACGCCATGAAACATTTTGGAATGACAACATGCTTTATCACCAAACTGGGAGGGGGCAGGGGGCAGGGGGCAGGGGAAGGATTATAGCAATCAAAAGCATATTCATTGGTATGACAATCTGGAGAACCATATTGTAATTGACTCAGTGTCTTCTAATTCTCTATTTTTATTGTTGACAAACTGTTAACTAAGATCAATGTGTCATCATTAATAAAATTTCAGAACAATATTTTAGTTTTATAACAACTTAACAAGCAACAAATGAACATCTAATCAAAATAGTCATTCATTTGGCTCCAAATAAATGAAGATAATATGACTACACTATGGCTTTCAAAGAAAATTAAAATATCTCTCGTTATTAGAATGAGATGATGAGGGATCTCACAAAACGTTTCTCTTTCATAGCTCTATTTTTTTGGGTGAATACTCTTTCGTAACTCCATAATGATATAAACTAAGATGACTCCAAGGAATACCAGATAGGTCATGGCTTGTCTTCCCAAATGCAGAGGGAAAGCATCTAGAAGTGGAACTTCTAAATACCTATAAAATACTTGTGATATTATTGATATAAACATACTCAGTAAATATTATGAACACCTATATATTTCACCAAAATTTACACTCCAAAACAAAATGTTACTTCAGAATTACAAGCAGACCCTTGGGTTATCCTAGCAGTACTTTTCAAAGCCCTCCATGCAGTCAGAGCAGCAAACGGAATGGCACTTGCTTCCTGCATGGTCACAATAATTGATAAAAGGTCCATGAAATTGCAATTTATAATCAAATGCATCTGAATAACACTTGACAGGTAAAATGGTAAACTAAATAAATGATATAATAATGAGAAAACCAGATCATACAAGTAGGTGAAAAGGCCAGGAAAGGTAAGTACTCTAAAGACATACCACATGTGAGATTGATACTGGTTTTGCAGTAAGTTCATCTTCTGAAAGAATTGCATAGTCTGTATAAGTACCCCGTACAGCAGTTGGATGCAGTGCACCAAACACTTCCTGCCCAACACTCAGAGATCGGACAGAAGCTCCAATAGCTGCAACTTCACCGCTAACATCACGACCCAAAATGAGTGGCAAAAGTGGTTCAAATAAGGAACGACCATAGCCTGATCGCATCTGGAAATATTAAAATTTGTAATATTGGATAAATACAAACTCCGATACGTGATTCATACAACAAAACAAAATGTAACAGATTTACATTCCCAAAGATAAAGCACAGTACCCAAGGATTAAGCACGAGCAAAATTCTAGAGAACACCACCATGCTAGAAAACTAGGTTTTTCTTACATAGAATCTTATCAAACAAATGATTAATATGGAGTTCAGATGCTTCAAGCAATATTCTTCTGCTATTGGATCCATCCAATTGCATTAAAATAAGTCGCATCATGCTTAGGTCACTGATCAAATTTCAAACATGATTCTTTCCATAAGACATTCATACATCAGCATGAGCAACGCCAGTATTCTCACCTAAAATTGAATAAATAAAAAGCGAGTTTGATTCCGATAGTATCTTCCGACTTCCAAAAACAAGATAAATTAACCAATCCAACCCAGAGTTAACTCCACTATTTTTTTTCACATAGCACTTTCAAAGCAAGTGGTACTTGTTAAAATACATTCTCATAAATTTAACCACCAACAACATTCCATCAAGAGAGAAACACTTTACTTCCATCATCATATATATTCTGTTACATCTCCAAGTTGGTGTGTGTCGCTTAATCTAATTTCATGCAAAAGGTCAAATTGATATTTAATTCAATCTCATCTTATCTTACTCTTTGCTGCTGCATTATATTTATAATGATCCACTAAAGAAAATATATATCTGCTTGACACTCCATTTGGATGAGCATAAAAAGGACAGAAACGAAAAATCTAAACATTAAATACTAAGAGCATCTCCAATCCTTCATATTTTCTTTCATCAAATTTAAATTTGATAAAAAAAAGTAGTAAAAAACCACCTCCAATCCTTTCATCAAATGTTCATCAAATCAAAGAAAAGTCATTTTTTTTCTTCAAATTGAAAACTAATCAAATTTGAATTTGTTGAAAATTTAAAAAGATGAAGCATTAGAGATGATTTTTTTTTCATCAATTTGATGAAAAGAAAAATTTGGGATAAGAGGGGAATTTTTAAAAAATATTTTGATGAAAATTTAATAAAAGGATTGGAGTAGTTCATATCAAATCAAGCTTTTAACTCAAATTTGGATTCAAATTTGATGAAAAAATTGGTGAAAGATTGGAGATGCTCTAAGTAACTAATATATAATTTATAACTAAGGCCTTCACTTCTAAAAATGAAAACACCAAACCTATCAAATTCCATAATTTTCCAAGTAATGGGACAATAAACCTCGCACTACTTAGCTGAGCTGGACAAATTCAGCAGAATTCAATTAAAATTCCATTAATTCCGAACATATCAAGTTCCATTTTCAAATGCCAATTCCATCAAATTCAGTCTAATCCCTCCCATTCCCAACACACTGTTCGATCTCTCATCAATATTTAATGCATCAGCAACCAAACCAGACATGAAAGTGAATAAAAAGTGATCAATTTAAACAAAAACGCATTAGGAACTTACACTTGTATCGAGAGGATTAACGGAGACGGCACGAGCGCGAACAAGCACCTCATTGGGCTTGAGATCAGGAACGTTGGCATCATCACGGAGCTCAAGGACTTCAGGCCCACCGAACCGCGGCAAAAGCACGGCTCTGCAGCTAGTAACAATACACCTAAACCCTAGCTTCTTCGAAGACGACGGCGAACAAAGCCACCGCTCGGAATCGGCACCTCCAATTGCTGCATTTCTCAACCCATTGAATCTCAATAACAACCGCATCGTCAACGAGCAGAAATACAAGTCCCGAGGTTCCGAATCAGAAACTTGAAAGCATGCAGAGAACTAGGCCAAGTGGTGAGTGTTAGGGTTTCGTAGTCTAATTCAGTTGTTGGAGAGAGAGAGAGAGAGAGACGAGGGGACGCGTATGTAATTGTAACCACAGAGGAGAGTTGGGCGTAGAGGGGAGTCGCGTGGACGCATTTTGTGTCTTCAGTTTTTATAGCCGTCCGTGTTGGTTGATCTGGGCACGAGGTTGTGCTCATAATGTTGTATTAAATGTTAAAAATATGATAATTTATAATTAATGAAAAATATTATCACGTGACGCACTGAACTAATTAATAATTTTTTCTCTTACGGGTGATGATTGAGACTCTCTCCAATCATTATTCCTACCACCCCACAGACACAACCCCCTTTGACCCCCTCTCTCTCTCATTGGTTACCTTTTCTTTTTCTTTTTTTCCTGCTCCTCCAATCACCTCCTGCCACGTGGCAAAGGGGGGGTGAGGGGGTGACCCCCAAAAGGGGGTCCCAAGCATTATTCTATTGTATAACTTAATTTTAAAGTAAATAATTTGATTATTATAATTAAAAATAAAATAATTAAAAAAATAAAATTATAATAAAAATGCAAGAGTGTTGCTTATAATTAATCTAAAAACTACTTATTACAAAATGTGAGAGAAATATCTTTCACTTTTACTTTTCAATTATTAACATTTAACTTATAATAAACTATTATAACTATTATACTGTGTATCTGGTATTAGAAATCCTAAATATTTATAAATTATAACATCTCGAATCAAAAGTAAGTCCATATGGTTGTAATATCCGAAATAACGGGAGTACATACCACTATTAGACAATAAAACAATTTATTTAGCAATTAAGTGAATGGCTTGCTTTATCGAATTATTCAGACAGGAAGCCCACAAAATGGGTTCATTTTATATTGCAAATTTTCTCATTAAAAAACAATCCACTGGAAATTTTGCAAATGTTTTCCAGGTTGACTCTTCTTTTGTGGAAATTGTTTGCACACTTTGCCTTGGAAACAACTTTTCATTTGTAATTCGGAAAACCGTAGAGTGCAAAGGAGTCAAGAGTGTCCTAAGGTTGTCATCAGAGCTTTCTCATGACCATTAGCCATCTCGCACCCATAAAAAAATAAATAAATAATTAATTAAAAAAAAAACACACACACACACACACTAAAATCCTGTCGAACATCATTAACAATTTCTCATTTCATTTAGAAGTTGGCTCTGCTACTGCAAGATCAGTTTCCTTGTGTTCCCCTGCCTTCCTGATTTTCCCAGCAGCCAAGCAAAGGCATAGATCCATTGCCTCTTGCAGTGAAAGCAAATAAAATAAAATAAAAGAACAAAGCTAAAAATCTTCTTTTGTTTTCTGGTCATTTTCTTCCCAATCCCATGTCCTAGTGGTAACTCAACCATATGGATCTCTTAAAAGGGTTTCAGAAGATGCCACTGAGTTCTCAATACAGGATTGCAATCTTTCGGCACAAGTTGTCCTGTCTCAAATCCCTCAAGACTTCTTGTCTCAAAACACTTACAACCAGTGGATTATGTAAAAATCTCGCTCAAAATTCTCACATGATTCGATATACTGTAAGGGTTTTGAGACAAAGGAACAACAAAGTAATTGGAAACACAAGATTCTTGGCCCAAACCTTTTCTCTTGACTCTTTCCTATAACTTGTAATCCAGCAGACCCTAAGGGAGAACCCTTACTCAGTTGTAGTGAGCTGGGTTGAAAAACACTATTTTGCTGTTGAAAGGACAGCACCAAAACTGGAAAATTTACCCACCATCTAGAGACAAGAAATTTGAACTAAATTTAAACTAACTTTGAACTAGAAATTTAATCTAAAGTTCAAATAACAATCCACAAGAAAGTTACAAACGACGTCAAACTACCCACGCCTATCCTAGCGACATATTTTGACCAGAGCCACCGGTGATGGTGTTTGTGGCAACATCACTTGTCAAAGTAACATTAGATGGTTGGACAACTGAAGTTCCCACATTACCAGCAGTGCTAACCTCAGAATTTTTTGGTTGCAGAACTCTAGTTTCCGTGGGTACAGGAGGGGGAATTTTAGTTTCCGTAGGTACAGGGGGAACTTTAGTTTCCACATTACCATGAGAAGCAGGGGGAACCATTGCTGCACCCTCTGCATGTACCTCTACTTTTTGCTGCTTTTGTGGTGGTGTTTCAATTGGAGGATAAACCCTCAAAGTGTTGCCCGTATGAGGATCACCGCCCTTCTGCTGGTTCACGGACCCTGATTCGTTTATGGCATGAAGTTGCTGCAACCTGTAATCAGTTTCTGGTCTACGGCAAACCTTTCTCAGAGGCACAATTTCCTGAAGGAAAAATTAAGAACCAAATAAATGTTAGCCAACGTAAATCACCTAAATATAAGCACCATTACATGCAGTAAATTAAATAGGTCTAAACAGTAAGCTAGAATGTCTTTTAATGCGTGTATGTTGCATCTGATGCAAAATTGAAAGCACATAAAAAATCATGCCTGAAAAAGCTGTGTAATGTTGAAGTAGAACACAAATGAAAGACGCCTTCTTTTCCTTTTTCAATGAAGGGTTTAAAAAAAGGAATTGTTCCAGGTAAAAGCTTGCGAATGAATGAGAATGTGCAAAGTGCTGTTGCAAAAAATAATGCGGAAGAAAACCCATTTCAATTATAATCGAGAACAACAAAACATCACTTCATTAAGGCATGAAAAACTATGCACCCTGGCCATCCCCCACTTCTGCTGATTTTGCTTGTAGTAATTTAAGTTGCTCATTGAAAACCCATGTTTCTGTCATCCAACTGATTGAAGAAAGCTACTTTAAAGTCTATACAGACAACTAGTCAGGTGCCACATTCATCTAGAAGAAACTACTTAACAAAAAAACAAAAAAAATTTTTTTTTTGATAATTAACTACTTAACAAAGTTTTCAAGAGACAATGTCAACTGGAAGTTGTTTCCATGACATTTGCCCATGGCACCATACTCACTCACCGCAGCAGTTACTGTTTGAAATCATTTATCCCAACTGAACCTTTTCTCTGAGAAATAGTAACCCAAAAATCACAATGAGAAAGAAAAAGATATCTTGATCCACTACAATAAATGAACTCTAAAATGCTAAAGTATCTTAAAAAGTTTGTAAGAAGAAAACAGACATGTTATCTTACAACAGCCGCTCCCACTTTGACAAACAATAAGAAAAGCAAAAGATGTTACCAGCCAATTAGCTGAATCAACCCCAGATTATACTCGTATAGTAAACAACATTAAGTAAAGAGCATGAGCACATTCAATTGTATACCTCAGACTGATCGTGATCATAGCGCACCAAGAACCTACAACGGCAACCTCTTACATCATGTCTCCGTCTCTGTGCATCAAGAACATGAGCATCAAAGTAAAGAGCTTGCTCTTTGCCTTCCTGAAAAAATTATAAAAAACCTTCAGAAGAGGATTATGACGACCTGATTTAACTTCTTAAGTTGAGATACATGACTATTCCATGGTATTATTATAAAAACATTCACACCTGAAAACAGAGTATGAGGTCTCCTGGAAGAACTGCAACACATTCTGATGCTTCGCATGGAAGAGACCGTTGTCTGACATGCCTGCGAACATTAACCCATTCATCTTCCTCTGGTCCAAAACCAGCAAACCGAACTAGAACATCCTGAATGGCCAGCAGAATTTGAGCCATAATGTTAGAAAAAAAGGCTAGCAAAGAAACAAGAGCAAGTCATAAATGAACCAGAGTATGTAACAAACATTCAAGGAAAAAGACTACTGTTGTTTAAGGGTAGGTATCAGATTTTGCCTATCAACAGTACACCATTTGAGGACAATTCAGTAACAAACACTTTGCTCCATTCATTATACTACATAGAGCATACACATCAGGTGGAATCTGATAGTTCATGAAGGGTCTAACAAGTATGCCACTGGATGAAGTGGCCATGAAGTGTCAGTTTGGTGTGGCTCTTTACAATACTTGCACAGAATTTATTGTGCATCCTTAAGAATAAAATAATGTGACGTAACGTAACAGTTGCACAAAATAATTGACGACAACAATCAGGACAACTAAGAAATAAAATGAATTAGTAGGATTCAACTCTTCCGTGTTAGTTGTAACAATTTATGTAAGTTGTAACAATTTATATTAATATGTAAAGGGGAAATCATTTTCAAGAATTACCGGATCACCCGTCTCAAGAGATCTATGAGATAGAAACGTTGCAACATCATACCTGAGGAAGGGAACACAAAATTAATTATATCAAACAAAGACTAATGTTATCAGAAAGGATGTCAGCAGCCATCAACTAATCAGCACCCTGAAGCCAGAAGTTCTAAAAGTTAAAAGCCAGAATACTAACCATGCACCATCCCTGGCAGATTTAGCTTCAAACTCCAACTGAGAATTATCTGAAACAGTCCTTCCTGCACTTTGAACTGCAGAACAAGACAATAAGGAAAAACAAATTGTAAGAAATAATGTATAGAGAAAGAGAGAGAATAAATTGTATGTATTATTATTGATTGATGTAATGTTATATCAATTACAATGATTCATGATTCCTATATATAGAAGAGGGTGAGTGTGTAGTAGGTAAGGAGTAGGTGAAGTGGAGGTGGTAGTGGTGTAGTGGGTTAGGTTTAGTGGAGTAGGTGAGGTGGTAGTGGTGTAGTGGGTTAGGTTTAGTGGAGTAGGTTTAAGTGGGTGAAGTAGGTGGAGAGTAGGTGGATTTTAACACAAATAAAGCAAGATACGAAGAAAAACATAAAAAGGATGTCTTCTGAAATAGAAACTAAGACTCATAAATCAGTAAAGAGCAAGAGGACAGGCAGAATGTCTTGCACCAAGAAGTCGATTATATTTTAGGCAGACTGCTTTGCACCAAGGAGTAAGTGGACCCATACATTTAACTGTTGTTAAGAGTTATTTTATATTCCTCACTGCAGTGGCACAGAAAAATGCTGGAACCAGAGAAGCTGGCTATGTAAAACTTACCCACTTTGAGTTTCATTTATCAAATTTGTCTCATCAATTCCTAAAGATTAACCAATCCCTGGAGTTAAGAGCAAGCTGTTAACTCACAAAATGATGGCAGGTTGCTATAAGTCATGGTTCCATGATTTTCATGATTTGGTTTAGTTCCAAATTTTATGAAACTGTAAGTAGCAGTTTGGTCCTTGACTTCCAACTAAACCGAACCATGTTCACCCCTAGCAAACAACCAACTTCATTGAAGCAAGGGCAAGGACGGGTTCACAAACTTCTTTAGTTATATGTTTTAAGTTGAGTCTCTATTCTCTCTAGTTCTGAGAGATTGTTTGAGGATTTTTTTTTTTAGTGATTAAGAGCTCTAAAACTAGAGCTCTAATTTGAGCTCTAGTGATGTGGCATAGGGGGAAAAAAAAAAACACACACACACACACACACACAAACAAGCAAGCATAACATCACATCACATGGTGGGAGCTCCAAAATTAGAGTTCTCAATCATTTTTGTTTTGTTTTTTTTTTCCCTAGCCTCTCTAGCTGTGGGAGTTTTATTTTAAGGTTAAGAGTGTTTTCTCCCCTCCTGCATGGGTGTTGCATTTGGGCATGTCTTAAGCTTTTTTCTATGCCTAGTGGCCCAAGCCATTCATGCTGTGAGTGGATTCTCTTAGGCTAGATTTGTGTACTACAATATAATTTTTTTTTTTTGGGATATCTCAAGGTGTCCAGACCAACTTACGCGCATCTCGACCAATTCCTGGGGACCAATCCCACCGTCCACTAACGGGGGCCTCAATTAAAGTTAGAGCAAAGCTCCGCATGGACCGGCCCAACACAAAGATTGATAGCACCTATGAGGTTTCGAACTTGAGACCTACAGAGGAGCAATCTCCTAAGTCCCAAACTGTGATACCCCTGTTCCGTAATATGTTAATTGGTCCTTAACCTAAGTATGATTATGTGTTTAATATGATTTTGTGTGCCATTATATGAAAATATGTGATTTTGAATTTCTATCTGTTCACCGTAGGAATATCTATTTGATTGTCTGCTTTGAAAATTGTTAAAATCCACCCACTACACCACTACCACCTCACCTACTCCACTAAACCTAACCCACTAAATCCACATACTCTCCACCTACTTCACCCACTTAAACCTACTCCACTAAACCTAACCCACTAAATCCACATACTCTCCACCTACTTCACCATTTTGAATTTCTATCTGTTCACCGTAAGAATATCTATTTGATTGTCTGCTTTGAAAATTAAATTGAAGGCCTTATCGGCCACAGAACCCGGAATTGATTACGTCATTGTGATTAGTGTGATTTTTAGAGCCTACGGTGAAATTTAATTGAAAACTGATTCGGACCAAATTAAGTTGATTAAATTATTGAATTAGTGCCTAATTATTTATTATTATTAAATTAAGTTAGTGGGAATTGTTGTAAAAGGGGCACCACACCTCAATTCTCCTATTTTGTTGCATCTTGGCAGATTTTTGACTCTAAGAGTAAAGAGAGGGTCGGCTAGAGAGGGTAAGAGGAGAAAAGTTGTGTTTGGCTCAAGTTTGTGGAGAATTGGAAGATTAAACCCAAGATTTTGCTATATATTGGGAGAATTAAGCTCCTAGGTAAGTATCTCATGGGTTCTAGATTGTAATTTTGTGTGTTCAAGCTAATTGGGTAATCAATAGTAAGTTTGACATGAAATTGGGTTAGTTTTGTTGAATTAAAGGTCAATGTATGTATGCATGTGTGTAGTTGTCTTGAATTTGTATATTTGGACTTGAATTACATGACTCATGTTGAATATTAGTTGAAATCCATGTGTTGACCATCTTTTCATCATATGGGATGAGAATGAGAGTTATATGTCACATGCATGTACAATCTATGGGAGTAGAAGCTTTGAATGCATGAAGTTGCTATGTTAATAATGAATTTGGTGGAGAATGAGCCATGCATGGGTTTGATTTATGAAATTGAGCTTAAAAATATTGTAATCTAGTGTTTGTACCATGTTAGTACACATATACATGAAGTTTGAGTCAAAATCATACATTTGGAGCCTTTGAATTTGAAGTTGAAGCTCAAGAACATATTCTGGATTTTCCAGAAATTTGAAGTCCGCTCGCCGCTCGAGCATGAATTTCGTGCTCCTAGTATTTTTGCAGACATGGATTTCCGCTCGAGGGGGAAAAGTCCACGCTCGAGCGGGGAGCTATGTAGACAGACCTTCAGCTCAAGCGTCCGAGTTCACGCTCGAGCGTAAAAATGATGCATCCAGCACTTTTTGCAGACATAGCATCCGCTCGAGCGGGGTAATTTCACGCTCAAGCGGGGAGCCACGAAGAGAGGCATTCCGCTCGAGCGCTAGACTTCAAGCTCGAGCATAATTTTGACGCTCCCAATACTTTTGCAGGCCTCAAGGGTCCGCTCGAGCAGGAAAGTTCACGTTCGAGCGGAGACCCTGTTTTCTGAAATTTTATTTATGCATTCTGAGTTCCGTTTTCTGTTCTCTTTCACTTCTAAGTACTCTTAGGCATGCATTGAGCATTGTAATTAAATTAAAGAGATAAGAATAAAGCCTAAAGAGAAAAATGTGAATTTAAGAACAGATTGAATTGTTGGTAACCCTTTTGTATTCATGGACTGTGTAGGGTCGAACTCCAGGGCAAACCAATCAACCGATCACTGTGAGTAACATCGATATTTTGAAGTTTGTCAATTGTCCAATTGCTTATTTCTCTACCAGTTTGCTAGTTTCAATTATGGACAACCGATTGACATAAATGATTGGGCCGAAAGCCGTTTTGACATAAATAAATGGGCCAAAGGCCGTTTTGACATGAATGGATGGGGCGAAGGCCGTTTTGACATGAATAGATGGGCCAAAGGCCGTTTTGACGTGAATGGATGGGCCGAAGGCCGTTTTGACATGAATGGATGGGCCAAAGGCCGTCTTGACATGAATGGATGGGTCAAAGGCCGTTTTGACACAAATGAGTGGGCCAGAGGCCATTTGACAGTAATGAAAGATAAATTGGCCAAAGGCCAGTACATTTGAAACCACAGTCACTTGACTTAAATTGCGTATATAAATGTTAAATAAAAATGTGAATTAGGTCCAAGGCCGTTCGGAGTATGTTGTTATACATATTGTTTGTATCTTCATATTTGATATTATTCACTGGGCTATCGCTCACGCTCATTCATGTGTTTGTAGGTGAGCCAAGAGAGGTCTAGACCTAGCCCCAGTGAAGTTTGTGTGGAACAACCGAGTTTTGGAGAGTCAGCCCTAGTGTCTCATGCACGAGACCTGTCTTCGCCTTTCTGCTATGTTATTTTATTTTTGTCATGTTGGCGAGGACTTTACATATGTCTGTATATAGTTGTCATGGGTAGACTTAGTTTTTAGATGATCCTGTTTGTACAGAACTTATGCTACTGCATTTCTGTTGTGAGTTATTAATGTATGTGTTTGGTTGTATGGATGTGCCATGTAAGCACAGCTCTATGGACAAAGTTTTGAACTGCTTCCGTTCGGCCCCCAATATCTCTGTTAAAAATACATTTGTTTTGGTTTGAGGCCGTAGGTAATCTCATGATTACTGGCCGGTCATGTCCTTAACCTACGGGGGCGGGTTTGGGTCATGACACAAACCTACACTACTAAGCCATCCCTTGGGATACTACAATATTGTCTCCAAGTTAACTGTTCAAACTAGAAAAAATATTGTAGCTATAAAAGAGAATATATATGAAATGCCTTGCACAAATAAAGACTGCGAAGTAACAATGTAGTAGCCACGTTTTTATTTATTTTTGGATAACTACGTAGTGGGCATATTGGCAACACAACCATCAAAGGTGTGATCACAACATTTAAATAAATACGAAATCACAAAGGTAATTGAGTATCCAAAGTACGGTTCATTATGTAGCAACATCAATCCCGGATACAAACTAGAAGCAGAATTACTGCAGTAAATATAGGTGAAGGAACAGTTACACATTGAATAGTTTTAAGAAGATAAATGTGCCAAAACTCAAGAAGCTGGAATAGTTTTAAGCATACCTGAAGGAACAGTTACAGATTGAGGGGCTTGAGAGACATTTCTCACGACAGTTGACTCATCCCGAGGCATAGGCAACACACTTAACTTCCCAGGAGTCTTAGCTGCTTTCGCCCTGATAGCATACCGCCTATTCTGGAACCAATTCCACACCTACACAAAAATCTAGATTAGCTAAAGATTCTTGGTAAGTCATCAACATGCAGTAAAGGAGAAATATTTTACTTGCTTCATTTGAACTACAATCTTTCCTGACCGTTCCTCTGAAGCGCTGTAACCAAAGAAAACCACATCATGACCTGACTTATGACACTAACAAGGCAAGCAATAAGTTTCCAATTGTTTGAATTATTAAATTAATCCACATTAACTACATACCTGAACTTATCTGCAAGAGCTACAAGGACTTCACGTGCTGGCATCTGAGTCTTATGTTCTTGCAGAATAGCTTCCATCTCCACAACCTTAAGAAAGAGACAATAATGACTTAAATCATAGAAAGCAATTAACACATGCACTAAACAAATACCCATATTCCAAATAGAGAGGTTGTATTGGAATGCATTCCAAATTATGTATGAACAACTTCTCCCATATTTTTGAAAGAAGATGCAGTGGCACACAACTGTTCACATAACACATTAGAGTTTGTGGGTTGTTGAAAATCATTTTACTCATATCCATATAAAATTCTGTGGACTAGCAAAAGAATAAAGCCCAAAAACGTAACAGATCCAAACTAACCACCAGAAGCTTCTGTCAGCTTGAAAATTTCATAATCTAGACAAGATCATAATCCCAAAAGAAAAAATGTAGAGGCAAAACTATTACAGCCTTCTGGTTGTCCTAGAAATCTGAATTAATTTGAAAATTTTAAAAATTAGTTCATATACAAATTGGATAATTATCAGCGTTTGCCTTTAAAAACAAAACAAGCTAACTTTGTCTATTAAACTAAAAATGTAGTAATCCTTCCTAAACACAAAAAATTACCTAATCTTATATAAGGAGATTCAATATCTGCCCTTTGTGAAGCTTACACAAATTTGAATTAAATTATTTATAAAGTCGCATATTTTAAATTTGTTGAATTAAAAACGGAAAATTTCATGTGACAGTCAACTTTTCATTTTTTATTTTTTTTTTTGGTAACGTGGGTATCAGGGCTTTGCCCAACTAGTCCCCACTCCCCAGTACATACAATCACCCATCCCCCACATACCGGATAATTACCGAGCACAAGCCGGGCAAGTGGCCTAAATGAGTCAAAACGCTTCATGGGGGTGGATCAATTGTTAGTGAATGACTAAAACATATAGAATCACATATAGATCTCCGGTGTGCATCTCCGGGGTTCAAAGATGTTGAAGAAACACAAAACTCTCCAATAAAATAAAACAAAATAAATAAACATAAAAAAACAAAATAACTACGATTAACGTTAATCACATAACAACATGGTCCTGGGCGCGAAAATTCGAAGATTTTGGTTTCAACTTTTGAAGAAAAGCAAATCTCAATCTTTCCAACGAATATCAACAACAAATACACGATTATGGAAATTAAGAACAAAATTGAGCGAACATTTGGATGAATTTTCACATTTATGCAGAAACAAAGAGAAGAAAGCAGAGATAGAGAGAAGTTAAAAACCTCATTTGGGTTGAAGCGGAAGGCTGGGCCACCGTTACTCGGTGGTCTCCCCATCGATTCCTCTTCCTGAAGCCTCGATCAATTCCAACTCTGTGAGAGAGAGAGAGCTGAAAACTGTGGAGTTTGGGGAAGAGAGAGAGAGAGAGAGAGGGGTTGGGCTTCGGCTCAAACCTTGTGGAATCGGAAGCTTCAAAGTTTTAAGGGGCGTTTGGTACTTTCGATTTTCTGTTCCAAACTATTTTAAGATAATTTTCTTATATTTAATAATAAAGTTTAGTAATTCTTTCAATATTGATTTATAAATTACCTTTTGTCGTGCTTTTTTTTTTTTCACTATGAGATAGACTCCTTATCGTATTTTATTTCTTCATATTTTTTCATACTCTTTTTATATGACGTTAATTCTAAACTAGGACGGATGATTTGAATCGTTTATTTTATAAATTATCACAATAAATATTATTCGTATAAAAAATTAATTTCATTGAATAATTATAAATATATGAATAAATAGTATTTTATTTTAAAAAATAAATAGTTTAAATTTATAATTACATTTGTCATTCGTTTTATAAATAAAATGTGATTTTTTTTTTCTTATGTTTATAAATATATGATGAAATTTATTTTTTATATGGATGATCTATGCGTTTAGAATTCAACCTCACAAGGCATGATTCTTAAAATTATTATACATAATAAATTTATCACAAAGGTATCAGAAGACAATAATAATTTGTCATTATAGGTGTGGGAGCCGAATAATGGCAAAATCAGAAGGTGCGTACCTTAGAAGACTGATATTAATCGGCTGTATCCTACGAGAATGGGAAGCCGAACATAATAAATTCTTTCAATATTGATTTATAAATTACCTTTTGTCGTGCTTTTTTTTTTCAATATGAGATAGACTCCTTATCATATTTTATTTCTTCATATTTTTTCATACTCTTTTTATATGACGTTAATTCTAAACTAGGATGGATGATTCGAATCGTTTATTTTATAAATTATCACAATAAATATTATTTGTATAAAAAATTAATTTCATTGAATAATTATAAATATATGAATAAATAGCATTTTATTTTAAAAAATGAATAGTTTAAATTTATAATTACATTTGTCATTCGTTTTATAAATAAAATGTGATTTTTTTTTCTTATGTTTATAAATATATGATGAAATTTATTTTTTATATGAATGATCTATGCGTTTAGAATTCAACCTCACAAGGCATGATTCTTAAAATTACTATACATAATAAATTTATCACAAAGGTATCAGAAAACAATAATAATTTGTCATTATAGGTGTGGGAGCCGAATAATGGCAAAATCAGAAGGTGCGTACCTTAGAAGACTGATATTAATCGGCTGCATCCTACGAGAATGGGAAGCCGAACATAATACATGTGCCGAATAGATGTAAATCCCTAGAGCCGAATAAGAGAAAAAACAATGATTAAAAAGTAAACTCTGACCCCGAGGATCAAAAGAAACAGGTATAAATACAAGAACAATGGATTGAAAAAGGTATATAAGAATCACTTCACTTAACTTAGTAAACAAGCTATCCTAAGTGTCTGAACTGACTTGTCCGTCAGAGTGCTAATTCCGACACCCCCGACCGGAGTGTTTGTATCTTTTCAGGTGACTAGCTGAAAATCACTAGCACACAATAGGTATTCATCAGAAAATATATTATAGTGTAATTTAAAAATAACAATGATATTCACACATGTAAGTTATTTTTGAATCTTAAAATTTATAAATAAAATAATGTAAAGAAAAAATTAAGAAGAAATATAAAATAAATTTTATTAGAAAAATATCGAAAATGTATAAAGTGGGGAAAAAATTCAAATTCATGGCAAGACTTTGTCCTTTCATAATTTTAAGATTCTCAATTTTTTAAAAATTAAATATCACAATTACATAAATTATTTTAGTAACGGTTTGGAAGCACAGTTTTCTTACGTCCCTTTAGTTTTGGCTTTTAAGTGCTAATTACACAGGCCTCCCATAAAATTTCTAATTACACAGACCTCTCATAAAATTTATGACAAATACATGAATCTCTTTAAATATATTTAGTGTAGAAAGCCGAATCACAGTTCGGAACATTGGTATTTGTTTACCGACCACTCCCCACCATGGATTTGAAACACCAGCATCTCTAAACAATATCTAAAAATAAATAAGTAAAATGAAAACTCTGAAAAAGAAGTAAGTTCAGCACTCAATCGTCTCAAACAGTCCCCATAAACAACATATTAATTTATAAAAACTGAGTTTCAGAAATATGATCAATACAGCTAGTACTCAAACACGGATTGATGTATTGCCAACTTAAAATACAACACACGACCACATAAAAGCAATATTAGGTCGATTTCACCAGATACCATGTCCTTAAAATGCCAACATCATTACAGATACACGTCTGGCAAATAGTTCGAAACATTTATATACTCCCATGTTGGCCTTGAAGGAAAACATTGACTTCTGCTCTTTTTCACCCAAGGGTGAAACCAGAACTTCTGCACATCTGCACTACCCTCCTAAGCGCCATCATCTTCTTCAACAGCGTTGACCCGTTCACATTCATCGATCCATTCACTATATCTGTAAACCATGCAAGTAATGATGGTTAAACAACTACCAAAAAGGGGGGAAATGTAACACTGCAAGTTATGTCAGATAAACAACTACCAAAAAGGGTAAAAATGTAACAAATAAAGATTAACTTACATGTCTATAGGTTCAGTCAAAGCTGCAAACAAAAAATAAGTAAGGTCAGTTCACACCAAAAAGCACGACAGAATCATACAAACAAAAGCATGCAAAAGTGGCATGATATTGACATCTCAAACCACACAGAAAAAACATACGCATACGTGTGTGTGTGTGTGTGTGTGTGTGTGTGTGTGTAGAGAGCGATCAAAATACAGCATCAGTGTGTCCCAGAGGTATAAAAAATGCCCAGGAAACAGAAAAAAAAAAAAAAAAAACCAAAAAAATTTAAATTAGTCCAGGGAACAACAAAATAGAACTTCGACAATAATCAGCTGCATTAAACAACTAGATTTGGATCAGACAATAGATTCTCTAAATTCCTAAAGTTCTATTTTTGATCCTCTTTTTCTATAAAAGCAAGTTATATGTTGTTTAATCAAATACCCATGCCATATATTAGCCAGCACCCATCAAATCATAACTTTTGATACTCCAATCAATGTGCTGAAGTTGACTGCAAAAACTAATTTGCCCTAACATCTGGACTTGGACATGCAACTAATTTATCAATAGGACCTGTAGGTAAATAAATAAGTCTACTTAGTATGACTGATTGATAAGTGTGCCCCTGAATATTAACCAGTGCAGCCGCTTAAAGCATAAAAGATTTGATTTTTTTTTTAAATATCTATATGTAGTTTTTGTTCCTGAGAGACCTGATGAAGATGGTAACAGAAATTCCTAGAACATGACATCATTTGAATAGATTTATCAGATACAAATCACATATTGTTAACCTATACTTTTCAATAAATGTCACATAAATTTATTTCATGTACCTCTTTTGTCTAAGGAAAAATTCATCACCCTCAAACCATACCGAACTCCACAACCTCAAAACTCGTGATTTAACGACCTCCCATTTTAATCCTTAGTTCCTAAGTTGTCAAAGCTAGCCACAACCACTAGCAGACTAGTGCGAAATTGATGACTTATTAAAATTGGAAACAGTCAAATCCATCATTTTTGTCCCCAAAAAAAATAATACTTCAACCATTTCTTCTCCCTAAATCATGTCCGAAATTTGACATCTTATTCTCTAAGTTAGAATTCCACCACTAAAAATTGGATGGAAATCCTGACCCCACCATATCCCAGAGTACATACTACAGCACTTTCAAAGCATTCTTTTTCTTTTATGGTCCAAGTCATTTCCAACAACTCAAAACTCAGTCCTTGAAGTAATGTATACCTGTCACAGTCATGCTAAAGCTCTCTTGGCAAATCCCGCATGTAGCCTCACCAATCAAGTTCTTCATATCACTGTAAACACATAAATTCTCATGTTTCAGTACAAAAAACAATAGCATAAATATTGCACATAAAAAATAAAAAAAAGAAGCGAACTTTGTTAATCTTAAGCTGCATCAACTCATTTTACTACTATATTAAATCCCAAAACGCAAATAAGAGAAGATTGAGACATAATAAAAATTTGAGGTACAATAATCCTCACTCGTTGCCAAGTAAACATAACACACTCCAAACCATGCACAACAGTGATCACAAGGCAACTTCTTTAATAAACACTTACATACGGCATTCCACGCTGCTTCCATGATTACAAAAGGGGCAGCTGAAAACAGTGTCAAGCTTATCCATTCTTTTCTTTGGGGGTGGCTTAGCCCTTGATTTCCTTTTACCCATCTTTCAACTCACTCTTTTCCTTCAGTATGATCAAAAACTCATCAGTTCATCTGTTAAATCATAAATTATGCAGATGATGGAAATGTTTAAAATCCTACCCCACCATCCATACGATTAAATAAATGAAGCAATATATAGTGAGAAACAGTATTTGATTCTTTTGGCTGTTCATCCAAGGAGGTGAAAGCATAAAAAATGAGTTTGCTAATGAAGATTACAGATTCAGTCAAGAGTCATGTTTATTTTGGCCAATTCATCTTCCCATATGCTAGTTTCAACAACTCTCATTCTTTACATTTCTTCCTAGCTACTTGGATTGTAGTAGGTATCCGGTCATTGCTTTAGGTACCAACCGACAGTATGGTTTTCAACCAATCTGTAGTTGATATTCATCTTTATCACACTTCTTTGTATTCCAAGAAAATTATATCATTAAAAAACGGAGGACTTCTTCCTTTTTCAATGTCACTTCTGTTGTTTATTTCGGTTTGTGTAGTTCACTGTTTAAAAGCAGTAGGAAGTATCTCTCTTCAAAAGCAGTTGCATCTTTCCCGCTGTACAAGCTTCTCACTCTAAAAGATCATTTCTAAAGAACATTTAACAAGTGACAATATCCAACGCTGAATCATAAATCGAATAGAAGTTACATCACATTCACGTTAAAAAGACTTCCACCAAAATATTCCTTACTGATTGTGGAATAAAGTCATTCACATTTTATTTATAGTGGATAAACATAAAACAGAAACTCATGCTATTATGAAAACATGAATTACAAGTAAAATTTCCCAAGTCACGTTAAGAGTTCAAACAGTATTAACACGTACATATGCTTATATGTACCGCTAGATACCCAGATACATTTTTATAAGGCACTACTAACTCCTAAAAACGGGCATTCACCTCTACATGACTCTGGATAGTCTTATTGCAAATTAATTTTAACATCGAAATCACTTTCTAAAGTTATCAAACACATCAGAAGTTACTATCCCACTTATAATAATAATAATAATAATAAAATAAATAAATAAATAAGTAATACCCAATACATCAGGCTATCAGGGTAGGGTACAAAGGTTGATTCACGTGACTTAAACTCGCGCTACAAGCCTACAAGGGTGGAGGTGGTGAGCACTTGCCATCGCAGTAGGTCCAATTTTCTTTTAAGGACTAAAGAGGCATACCATACTTCAACAATTTAAAGCAATCATCCACCTTTCGATAAGTAAACTTTACTTTTTTATGAACAAAAAGGTTCAAGACCTCGCTACCAAATACTACATAGATTTCTCAAAACGCAATTCCACTATGCTTAAAATCCTGATTTTAATTTAAATATATACCCTAACAAAAGCAGAATGATCATGAAACTCAAGTCCTACAACCTCAGAACAGCAAATAACAAATTCAGGAAAACCCTAACAACCAAAACACATCACAGAAACTCGAAAGATAACAAGTACCAAGACAAAAACCCTAAATAACGAAGAACAAGTCCGAAATCGCATGTACAACTCTTGATTTTCATCGATTATAATAAAAGACACAACATAGATTACGAACCCTAAACATATAATGATGAAAAAGGGAAAGCAAGAGAAAATAAAAAAATCAATACCAGTATATCGCAATGTTACCTAACGATTCGCAATTCGCAACCCGAGAGGTTTCGCTAAGAGATAGAGAACGAAAGGCTTTCGGAAGAGAGGATAGTGGGATATTTATGGAGGGCAATTATCTGCTGGTTTTGACTTGAGACCCGCGTTGATGATCCTAGTCTAGCCATTAATAATCTATATAATGAAGCAGGGTTGTTTTTGAATTTTCCTTACACATATTTATTTTAGTAAGAAATTTGGACGGTTTAAATTTATTTAAATTATAAAATAGTGATTAAGATATATTTTTTAAAAAATATTTTATATATATATTTTTTATTTTTTCGTTTCTTTTTCTTACTTTTTTTTCTTTTCTCACTTATTCTTTTATAATCTATGATCCCATATCTCTTTTTATTTTTTTATTTTTATTTATTTTCTCTCATTTTTATTTTATTTTTTTTGTTTATTTTTTTTATTTTTTCCTTTTTGTTCGCATATTTTTATTCATATTATATGAAAAATCCTGCAATCTCAGAATAAGGAGCCAGATTTTACTGTGTAGTGGAGATTATATTAATGAATTTTTTAGTCCACAAATTAAATGAATTTGAATAATTAATTAATATTTTTAAATATATTGATTACCTGATAGATTTCACAAATATAGACCTCATATGAATCTTCAACATCTATATAATAAAGCATGATGGTTTTTAAATTTATTCTATATACATTTGTCCTACTATGACATTTGAATAGCTCAAATCTATTCAAATTATAAAACAGTGACTGAGATATATTTTTTAAAAAATATCCTATATGAACATTTTCTATTTTCTCTTTTCTCTCTCTTACTTTTTTCTTTTCTCACCCATCTTTCTATAATCTCGTGATCCCACCTTCCTCTTTCTTTTCTTTTTATTTTTTTTATTTTCTCCCATTTTTATTTTTCTCTCTATTTGATTTTTTTTTCACCTTTTTGTTCACATATTTTTATTCATATTATATGAAAAATTTTGCGATCCCAGAATTAGGAGTTAGATTTTATTGTGTGTAGTATAGATTGTATTAATGAATTTTTTGGTCCACGAATTAAATGAATTTAAACAATTAATTATTATTTTTAAATATATTGAATACCTGATAGACTTCGTACATTTAGACCTCATATGAATGTTCAACATATTTTAATAAAGCATGATGGTTTTTGGATCTTCCACATATTTTTGTCCTATTGAGACATTTTTATGGCTCAGATCTGTTCAAATTATAAAATAATGACTGAGATATAGTTTTCAAAAAATATCCTACATATACATTTTCTATTTCCCTGCTTCTCCATCTCTTACTTTTTCCTTTTCTCACACCCCTCCTTCCATGATCCCATAATCCCACATTCCTTTCTCTTTTCTTTTTTTTTATTTTTTTATTTTTTTTATTTTCCTCTTTTTATTCCATATATTTTGCACATATTTCCATACAATGTATGTATGCCCATAATACACTAGGACATTACTGGTATACATACAATTTTCACTTAAGAGAAGATGTATTGACCAACACCTAGTCAACTAGCCAATTTGCTTTTGTTTAAACATGTATTTTGAAAGAAATACATCTAGTCAATTTTCACTTAATATTTCCAAAATTAAGTGATTTTAGATGGTATAAAAATGTATTCACCTCTAGAGTTATGTTAAGAGAAAATTGTACTAAATCTTTTTAGAAAGAAAAATTTATTGATGGATTACTTAGTTTGTTTGCTCACAAAATTAGAGATGTTCTTAGTCAACCTACTGGTATTATTGAATATGACAATTTCACTTATGGTGATATCATTAGCACTATTCAAAAAGAATGATTAATAATGTGTATTGATCTTAAACTCAGTCAAAAAGTTATTAAAGATAAACATAAGGTTAAATATAAATTAGGTAAATTTTTGTGAACAATATGGTTTACCTCCTGTCGCACATTCCCGTAGGAAAACACATAAAAACATAGTAAATCCCATTACAAATATTCAAACAAGTATAAAAGGAATTATTCACCTTCTAAATCAAATGATAAATTCTATACTAAACCTAAAAAGAAATATTACAAGAAATCACATCCAAAAGTTAAATATAATAAAGATATTACTTGTTACAACTGTGGTAAAAAAAGTCATTATTCTAATAAATGTAAAGAAAAACAAAAATTAAAAGATAAAGTTAATCAACTTCAAATTAATGATGAATCAAAAAATCAATTATTTGAAATCTTTCACTTAAATCAATCTGTTAGTAATTCCTCTTCTGATAATCCTAATACTTCATCTAATTATAATTCACCTAGTGAAGATTCTGATAATAATATAGAATTAAGATGTAATGATGTTTATTGTAAACCTATTAAATAAATTACTGTTCTTACTAAACAAAATCAAGAAGAAACTGCTCTTATTGAATTAATTAGTAGATTTGAAGATTCTAAATTAAAAAAGAAATATATTGATAAATTAAAATCTTTGTTAATCAATACTAATCATAAACCTAAGTTTGATAAGCTTATTATTAGTCTATCTAAAACCTTAGAAAGATTTAAAAATAAACACAAAGAAGTTACCTTACAAGATTTACAACAAGAAATTAATCAGATTAAACAAACCATTAAAGATTTACAAAATAAAGATCAATATTTAGAAGATGAAATTATTACATTAAAACTTAATAAAAATTTAGATAATTTCCAAACTAATAATGTTTCTCCTAATGAATCTGAACATGAATCTGATGAACCTGCTAACCCTGATAATCTTTTATTTGATAATCGATCACATCAATCTCAATCTCATAATCATGAAGATAATAGATTAAATCCCCTTAATAAAATCCATATTCAAAAATGGTATTCTAAAATTAAAATAGTTATTAATAATTTTGAATCAGATGTTATCGATTTAATTGATACTGGTACCGATCTTAATTGTATTCAAGAAGGATTACTCCCTACCAAATATTATGAAAAATGTCGTGAAAAATTAACTTCTACTAATGGTAGTAAAATACATATTAAATATAAAATACCTAAAGTTCATATATGTCAAAATAATGTTTGCTTTAAAATTTCCTTTGTTTTGATTAAAAATATGACTGATAAAGTTATTTGAGGAACACCATTTATATTTTTACTATACCCATTTACCACCTCTAGTGAAGGAATAACTACTCATGTTTTAGGTCAACCTGTTACTTTTAAATTCTTATCTCCTCCTGAAACATTAGAATTAAATCAATTAAAAGATTGTTCTATTTCTCAAACGATTAATCGATTAACTCGTCATTTAAGATATCTTAAAGAAGAAATTAATTACAAAAGAATTGATCAACAATTAACTAATCCAGTTATTATTTCTCAAATTAATGAATGTAAATTAAAATTAGAAACTACTGTTTGTTCTACTTTACCTACTGTATTTTGGCATAGGAAAAAACATGTAGTCACATTATCACATATTAAGAATTTTCATAAAAGCCAAATTCCTACTAAATCTAGACTTATTCAAATGAATCATGAATTATTTGAAATGTGTAAAAAAGAAATCAATGAATTATTAAAAATTCGAATAATTAGTCCAAGTAAATCACCTTGGTCATGTCATGCTTTTTATGTGAATAAAAATGCTGAATTAGAATGATGTGTCCCTCGCTTAGTCATCAATTATAAACCATTAAATAAAGTTTTAGAATGGATTCGATATCCTATTCCTAATAAAAAAAATTTGATTAAAAGACTTAGTCAGGCTGTTATTTTTAGTAAATTTGATTTAAAAAGTGATTTTTGGCAAATACAAATTCATCCTAAAGATAGATATAAAACTGCTTTTACTACACATTTTGGTCACTATGAATGGAATGTCATGCCATTTGGGTTAAAAAATGCTCATAATGAATTTCAAAATATAATGAATGATATTTTCAATCTATTTAATCATTTTTCCATAGTTTATATAGATGATATTCTTATTTTTGTGAAAATCAATTAGTGAACACTGGAAACATCTTACTACGGCTCCGTTTGGGGACTTACATTTTTAGTCAATTAGTCAAAAAGTTACTAAATTAGCCAAAAAGCTAACAACTCATACCAAAAAGTTAAAGATTCTCTTTTCTCTCTACTTTTTGCACATCTTTTCGTAATTAGCCAAAAAGTCATCCCAAACATACAAGTTTTTTTTACTTACCTTTTTAGCCAAATAGCCAAAAAGTTACTAAATTAGCCTATTCCCAAACGAGGCCTACATTCTTTTATACCATTAAGAGTCATGGTCTAGTCATTTATACTCCTAAGATTAAATTGTTTCAAACTAAAGTCAGATTTTTAGGTTATGATATTCACCAGAATACTATTTTACCTATTAGTCGTTCCATTGAATTTGTATATAAATTTCCTGATGAAATCTTACATAAAACTCAACTACAATGTTTTTTAGGATCACTGAATTATATTGCTGAATTTTACAAAGACCTTACGAAAACTTGTCAACCTCTGTTTGATTGATTAAAAGACAATCCTCCTCCTTGGTCTTCTACTCATACTGCTATTGTTAAACAGGTTAAACAATATGTCAAGTTTCTTCCTTGTCTTGGTATTCCTATTGAAAATTCATTCTAAATTATTCAAACTGATGCCTCTGATATTGGTTATGGTGGCATCCTTCTCCAGAAAATTACTCCTCAGTCATCTGAACAAATTGTTCGTTATCATTCTGGTGTCTGGAATAAAATACAAAAGAATTATAGTACTATTAAATAAGAAATTTTATCTACTGTTTTATGTATTAGTAAATTTCAAGATGATATTTTAAATCAAAATTTTTTACTTCGTATTGATTGCAAATCTGCTAAATATGTTTTAGAAAAAAGATGTTCAAAATCTTGCTAGTAAGCAAATTTTTGCTCGTTGGCAATCTGTTTTAAGTATTTTTTATTTTGATTTGGAAATTGAATATATACCTGGTTGTCAAAATTCTATTCCTGATTTTCTTACCCGAGAATTTTTACAGGGTGGATAGTGAGTTACATCATGCTCATTCCCTCTATTCCTTACCATAAACACCAGATTAAACACTATAAAACCTTAGTCAAACATACTGCTCGTCGCCTTGCCTTTCTCAAATCGACCCATTTACCTACTAAAAGAGCCTAGTAC